ACCAGTCAAAAAAAAATCCATCTAATATCATCACAAACAATGTATACCGTGATGGTGAGCTACCTAGAATGGTGGCCACATTACAACCTGACTGATAGAATTCAGTCTGCACCAAAGAGAGAACTAGACGCATCACACTAGTTACTAGTGTCAAATCAAAAATAATTGAAAATTAAATACACCTTAATTGAATGGAAAACAATGCCTCTTTCTAATAAAACCGAAATGAAATACATCCTTAGTTATCTCATTTATGAAATAAGCTTGTGAGATGTGTATTGGAAGAGATGTATATAACAGAGATATTTACACAGATACCTGTTGGAATAGTGGGGGTATTGTTTGAAAATTGATCACAACGCTTATGAGGTTGGCTCTAAATGGTTACCCAGTGCTAAGATAACTTCGATCTGACTTACAAGGACTATTGTCTAATGTGAGCATTTAGGAACTATTCATCCTGATCGATAATACATACCATCATGCCATATCGCTTGCTTTCTTGGTTTGTATATTAGTGATATCAAAAGGATCACATTTACTCATCTGCGTACTTCTGGTTTTCAAAAGAAACTGTCCTGACTTCTGACTTGGAAATGAGTAATTTCAAAATGACAAATCTGTTTCAAGATTTGGTTTGAATTTTATATGACACAAGATTTAAATACCTCTTTGTTGCGCAAGTGATTTCAACTCATGAATTCCCAGTGCTCAAGTAGAAATGATGGAAGATTATCTATTTTATTTTATTTCATGAAATTTTCTGTTTCAGGTCCCATATCTTTTACACCCACACACAAGTTGATCATCCATACCGATATATATTTATATATATATGCAAAAAATGCCACCGAAGAGGGTCTTAGGAGCAAAAAGCATTTTTGACTTCATTTCTGGCACAATATTCCACCTTATTGTAGATAAAACGTAGTAACTAGTGAGTAATTATAAATTACCAAAAGAAATACAAATCTGCCAATAATCACTCCAAGTGAAAAATAACGATCAACACAAACCAGGTTCTCTAGATAATGCAAACAGATGCATTTTCTTGTGCTAACATTATTCATAGTTATCAAGTGTTAATTTACAGAGATTTGATTGGTTACAGGTTAGTTAGAGACCAAGCAGAAAACCAAGGAGTACTGCACGACTGTTTTGTCCTAGTTTGAGACGCCTCAACAGTATGCACCCATCGAGGCTCGAACCTAGAACCATTCGATCGGATCCCAATGGATGAATGACCAAAGAGCTCACCTTGTAACCTGGAGGTCCTGGGTCCGAACTCCGGTGATGGATGCGTGCTGTCGAAGAGTTTCAAACAAGGAAGAAACAGCTGTCCAGTATTCCCTGGTTATTCGTAATTGTCTCTAAATGTTTTATAATTATGCACACATCTCTATTCGCCACATGTTAGTCTGTTTTTCAAAACAATTTACTTCTAGTTTTCTGATATGCAAGACATTTTAATTACTTCAAAGCTCACAAAAAATTCAGAAGAAAATGAAGTCGAAGTAACAGTTTGCCAGCTTGATTTTTGTCGTTGTCAACATTCATATTCATTACTGAAATAGAATTCCATCGATATCTTGTAGTTAGTGAAATACACTTTAAAAATTGCAGTTTTACGAAAGTAAAATCTGCGCTCATCCACAAAATCTTCTCACAGAGCTTCTTCTTTAACCACTCATCGAAAAAAATCTGATAAAAAGTATTTATAAGTATTTAAAGCTTAGTTTTGTATAAAAGAAAAGAAGGCGTTCAGCGAAGAGACTCTTTTCGGCGAATTCATTCACTGAGCTGTACAATCGCATATTTATACAATTTTGTTTGTGTGTGTGTACATTAGATTTATAAAGTTTAGATAATTATGTAATATAAGTATTTTTTGGCTTGGAGACAAACGTTAAGATGGAAAATAAAATAGAATCGATTAAGTGAATTGGATGACGTAATACAGTTGAGTAGAATTCAGATTAGGTCAGGCTGGCAACAGTGTTAATGAGTGGTGTTTAAAATCAAATAAGGGTGGGGTTAGAGAATAATACAGTTGAAAATAAGTAAGTTAATCGGACGACGTAACACAGTTGACTAGAAATTGGACGTGGGTCAAGTTAGTAACATTGTTAATGAGAGTAGAGACTACAAAAGGGTGGGGTAGAGAATAATATAAATGAAGATGTGAAATAATAAAATGCAAGAGACAAAATAATACAATTAGTAAGACTGAAATTAAGAAAGATTACGTCCATTGTAGATTTAATGAATGAACGAATTTCTTTTGTATAGTTTTGTATAGTTTTTTTGTTTTGTATAATCGGTTCTGAACCACATCTGGCAGTACTATAATCACTAACTAGATATTATACAAACAATTTACTTGCGTATTTGAAAACTATGACCAATTATGTGTTCACTTTATACTATTCAAATGTCACCAGGATCACATACATGTAATTGAAGCTGTGTAGAGCCACTCTTTCTTGAGAAAAAAAGTTTGTATTAAATATCAAAGGTGTAAAAATGAGTGTAAGCAGAGAGGGTATGACAGCAGGTAGATAAAAAAAATTAGTGAGTAAACAAAATTATTTGAAATAAGGAATATGATTCACAGATAGATAATAGATCGTGTTACCCGCAGTTAATTCTCTGAATAATAAAATTTACTGAACCAAAACTATAGTAACTTGTGATTAAGGAAATGTCTATCGTGTTGGGAAGAGCAAGAATACTTCTATAACCAATGTGTTTGATAAAAGCGTATTTTTAAAATAAACTTTTCATTTATATATATATCCAAACCAAGTTCACTTTTAACCGTTTGCAAAAATTTGGGCATTAGATATATTATAAATACTATAATAAAGGTTTTTTTGTATTTCCCGATGAATGAAAAACGAAACGATATTGTTTTTACTGACGTTTCGCTATTTAATGGATATTTTGATAAGAGAGAACGATAAAAAAGATTAAATAGACTGTGGCACCATCAGAAATCGGGAAGTTGAGTGTAGAAATAATGTGACTTTACTTTAAGTAGAGTAAGTGAATTTGGTGATTGCCCTGTAAGCAGTTGAAGAGAAGGCGACGAAATAAAATATGGTACCATTTTATTCTGCTAAATCTGTAGTTGTTGCTTTGTTTAAATTCATTAAGGGGAACAAATGTATGAGATTGCTTAAGAAATTAAGCAATAATAATACAAAGAAAATATACAAATTTCTCTTAGACTCAGCAAATAGTGACTATAATCAAAGCAGATAGTTTTCAAGTGTTAGTTTGTAGGCATTTGATCTGTTCCAAGTTTGACTGTCGATTGATATCATTTGGTGGTCGTGTTAAAACCATGAATTGGTAGAAGTTAGAATTCATGGGCTGGCCATTGAATCGGATCCCAGTGGCTGAATGGTCTACGAGCTCGCCTTGTAACCCATAGTTCCTGAGTCCGAACTCCTTTGTTGGGTGCGTACTGCCGAAGAGTCTCAAACAAGGAAGAAACAGCTGTCCAATGTTCCCTGGTTTCCAATGGGTGGATTGGGGGGGGGGGGGGGGGAGTAGAAGGGTCGGATAGTGTGTTAAAGTTCATATCTATAATTAATTTAGTTAATGAACAAAAAATTTTATTCTTCATAGCCAGTCATTGTGAAATATAAGTTCTTGCCTTTGTTCATATATTAGCATTGTTCCGTATTCACTTTGAATGGTAATATCTCTCATGTTCACATTGAAGTGTTAATTCGGTGAAGGCAAATTTAACGGTCAGTTTTTCATACACTTATTCCCCTTAATGAATTTGAATAAAGCAAGGACAACAGTTTTTGCAGAATAAAATGGTACCATCATTTATTTCGTTGACTTCTCATCAGCTGCTTACAGCCCAAATACATCATTGAGTTTATCTACAGAAACAATTTTAACATACTTGCACAGGGTTCATTTTTAAACAATAAATCAATGTATGCATAAAATGCTAATAATAATAAAAACTTTATCCCAAACTATAATGATGATACACAATGGAAAATTTCGGCGTGAAAGAGAGGATGAAAACATCCAGTTACCAGGAAAGACTAATAAAGAAGGGCATACCTCCGATTTTCTGAATATGTACCAAAAACACTATATCTTAAGGGAAAAAGTGCTTTAAACAATGCCATCACCAGGCATCTCCTTGACACAGGTCATGAGGTGGACGTCGCAATGTCGTTCAAAATCATCAGTAGGCAAATAGTTCAATTCACCTTAAGTTTACTGAGGCAATCTCCATCAAGCGCCTAAAACCCGATTTATGCGTTCAGAAAGAAGCGGTTATCAATCCTTCCTTGCCCCGGTAGCTGGGCGTTTTCATCCTCTCTTCCATCTGATTACTTAACGCTGAAATTTTCCATTGTGCATCATCATTATAGTTTGGGATAAAGTTTTTATTATTATTAGCATTTTATGCATAGATTGATTCTTTGTTTAAAAGTGAACCCTGTGCAAGTATGTTTAAAGTGTTTCTGTAGATAAACTCAATGATGTTTTTGGGTTGTAAGCAGCTGCAAAAGTCAACGATGGCACCATTTTATTCTGTAAAAGCTGTTGGTCAGTTTCTCCCTCCATCTGAGCATAAAACTCTTTCGAACAGCTGTCTTATCTCATCCTTGTGTGAAATTCTGTGTCACCACAGCTGTTTTTCAAGTTTCCCAACTTTTTTGACATATACCAATCTACAGTAGGTTGAATTTCTTTGTTATCACAAGATTAACAGAAACAGATTAGTTTGACTTATGTACTAGACCTCACTGCCTAGCCTTGCACTATATCACAAAAACTCATATTTGAACCATTCTTCTACAGTGCCATTCATTCAAATTGGGTTTATTATATACTACCTTTTACTGTTAGGAATAAAACACGTTGAAGGGGTATTTTGATCATAAATTTGTAAATTCAGACGCTATTTAACTGTTGCTTACATCCAAATGAAACCATAAATATCATTTCCTTCCTTATCTTAGACCTGTTACGGGATATTTATTAGAAGGATCAAATTCACTTTTCTTCACGAAAGACTTGCCACCAGCAAATGCAGTATTGCTTCCAGACAATAAACTAGTGAATTTCAGAAAGACTATCCGACGTTTTGACGACAATTTCTGTAATAAGATTCGAAGGTCTCATGCCAATATTATTTCCGCCGGTTTGTCAGAATACAATGAACCTCCTTGGACAATTGGGAAATTACATTTAAGACCAGTTAACAAAATACTTCATCTGTGGAATCCTGAGGAATCATCACATCATCATTCTCCTATTCTGGAAACTGCAAGTTCTCTACCAAACTTAGGCATTCTACGTTATTCCTCTTCAAGCACTAATGTAATCAAGACTGTAAGTTACAAAGACAGTCCGTCTAAAGATGTTTCTCAACCAAAGAATGACTGGAAGTATAAAAAGATTAAATCGGACTTATCAATAAAGAAAAACAAATGTTCAAATGAACCTAAACATTGTTCATTTAAATTTAAAGAAAGCCAATCGAATAGTGAAACAGATGTAGCAAGTAATAGTGAATCTAGTGATAGTTATTCAACCGAAAATATTTATATAGAGATAAAAGAAAAGAAATATTTACCTGTCTGGTCAGAACCATTCGTTGTATGCGTGCAGAGAAATACTTATCAGATGCTGGGATTTTCAGTGTCATGTGAGCTCTCGTTTAATATTTATTTTTCTATGTAAACATTGTAAGGTATTTGTACCTGCTGATTTAACACTAACCGAATTTAAACTATGGTAGTTTTTCCTTTCGTTTTTTCTGAAAATTTTATTAAACCATCTACCGAAATTTACAATAACGAGATGTGTTCAAACATTTCTTGTTGTCTGAATCAATTTTAATCTGTAAATATTTTAGATTTCCTGTTGGCAGTGATTTTCACCGTATAGCTTTGAAAGCTATAGATTGTAAAAACACTAGACAGCCCACTAACATCAGATTCATTTTAAATTTTGAAAATTGAATCTGCTAGTAATTACAATCACCGAGCCTTAGACTTTCAGTAAATTGTGAAGTCTCTCTGCATGTGAAAATCATAAAGAATGCCGAGGAGTGGGTCCCAGTGGCTGTATAACCTATGAGCTCGCCTTGTGATGAGGAGGTCCTGGGCTCGAACCCCGCCATGTGATTACCGATGAAGAATCCGAAACTAGGACGAAACAGCCATCCATGTGCGTTGATGATTCAGTGGTAGAATACTTACTAACGCTGCACCTGGACCAGGTTTGAACCCCGACTGACACACTGATTAGCCTAACTTAGCCAGTAATAAGCCCGGTAAAGAGGGAAGGTTGGGTGTGAAGCTAGTGACATTACACTGTAAAACAGAATAACATTACTGCCGCTGAAACTCCAAAGCTCAAGTTTGAAGTTTTATGATCCACCTGGTATACAAAAGATTAAAATAAAGTTACAAGACAAATGCTGAGGAGAGCTTGTCAAAAAGTATATCATTTTATGTCATATAATCCACGATGCAGCTTTAAAGTTCCTTCCGTGTTGAAAACGGTTTGAATTGGAGGACATATAGTTCTCATACCGCATTCAAAGGTTACCATGAATTTTTCTTTTTGCATCATCCTAATCAAGTAATCTGATTCAGTTTCCTTTGAAAAGCCTAAGGGGAGTTATTCTCGGAGGGACGATACACATGTGTTCACTTTGTTTCGAAACGGCTCTAAACCAATGTTCTAGCAAGTAGTTTGAATGTGTACTATAATACAACTTGTTCAGTCTTTTAAAGTCTTAGTGAACTGGCCATAGAAGCGATATGGCGAGAAATCCAAAAATAATGATACAATTCTTGCACAATTACATTAAAATTATTCCTCATAACCTTTGTGGTTAAAAGACGATATTCCTCAATTACCCATGCAAATGTCACTACTGCAATGATAGATACCAGGTGTCCCATATAGTGGCACAAACTAACTTGTAACATGAATATTAAAAAGGGAAAGATGAATTATCTTAAGTTCTGTCCCAACATACTTACTTAGTGTTAAACATAAGAAAAACTTACCGAAATTTGTTTCACTCTTCATAAAATATTAACACACCAGTGTAACGTGGAAATACGCTTTACCTTCGCCACTGTCAATATTTCAACTGATACATTCAACAGATGGTATCTTTAAGGTAAGCACGCTATTGAACCAGCTGATCTACGCCCAACGAAAAACCAGGATATTGATAGACTGATGGTTAGTGACAGTGAAGTTGAGAAAGCGCGTTTCGTTGTTATATGCTGAGATTATTCTACATTTACTGATGACTGACATCATTTGACTGGAGCTAACTGTTAACAGCCATCAAACAAATAACATCATATTAATCTCAATGCATGGCTGAGGCCGAAATGTCATCAGAGACCAAGCATTACAGTCTAGTGAAATCTTTTGATAGGTAATTTAAAAGAAATGCAGTTCAACAAAATAAATAGATATAGTTATCTTGATATTCTTTCTTTATTCTCCTTCAGTCGTCTTTTTCACATATTAATTCTTTCACTGACTTATGTAATTAATGCAGTCATTCATTTGAAGTAAAATATTCACTTCGAATGCTAATATTCTTTTGGCGTTAATTATCACTTAAGTATACTTTTGGAGGAAAAATTCAGGTTTTTGTACAATTACTGAAATGTTGGTTACATTTTTTAGCTCTCAAAAGATTATATTCCTGCCACCGGGAATTAATATTTACATTGTTTCCTGCGACAAGTTTTGAGAATTAATTGTTTTATGTGCTAAAGACAGCTGATTTTTAGGTAGTGGAAATGCATTCTACTTTCAGTTATCTCCTAACTAAATATGAAGCAAACAGAATCCCTACAAACTAATCCTTGAAAATTAATCTGACGTACGCTAGTGACTGGCTACAGGACGAAGTTGCGTGGAGTTCTAGTGAGAAGTCGTGACCAGTGAGGTCCATGCAGTCGGGAGTGAAGATGAATTTCCCGCCGATAACACTGGTTGGTAGTCGCGCTAAAGTCACGAATTGATAGAAGTAAAAATTCATGGGCTGGCTATTGAACCGGGTCCCAGTGGCTGAATAGTATACGAGCTCGCCTTGTAACCAGAAGGTCCTGGGTTCGAACCCCGGTGGATGCGTAGTGATGAAGAATCCCAAACTAGAACGAAACCGCTGTCCAGTACTCCCACGTTTTCCAGTGATTCTCTAACTGATGTCAGCTCATGATGAAATCCTCCACGCAATTCTGTGTGACATTACTTTAAGTAGAGTAAGTGAATTTGGTGATTGTTTAAGAAATTAAGCAATAATAATACAAAGAAAGTATACAAATTTCTCTTAGACTCAGCAAATAGTGACTATAATCAAAGCAGATAGTTTTCAAGTGTTAGTTTGTAGGCATTTGATCTGTTCCAAGTTTGACTGTGGATTGATATCATTTGGTGGTCGTATTAAAACCATGAATTGGTAGAAGTTGGAATTCATAGGCTGGCCATTGAATCGGATCTCAGTGGCTGAATGGTCTACGAGCTTGCCTTGCAACCCCCATAGTTCCTGAGTCCGAACTCCTTTGATGGGTGCGTACTGCCGAAGAGTCTCAAACAAGGAGGAAAGAGCTATCCAATGTTCCCTGGTTTCCAATGGGTGGATTGGGTGGGGGCGGGGCGGAGTAGAAGGGTCGGATAGTGCGTTAAAGTTCAAACAAAATCCCTACAAATCCAATACTTGAAAATGCGAAGTTATTAGCAAAGCTAGTTAATGCGATGCTTCTTTAGCCCAATTTTAATATTGTTCTAACTTTGAAAGATTAGTTGTTCACTTAATATGAACTTAGCTAATCAATTTTCTTGCTATTACTATTCGTTCGAATTGTCATTAAAAGTTGGGAACTATTCAAGATATTCAGTTTATACGATTTATGCATCAAAATTCCTTTAGATTTTCTTAACTATTGGGAATAGCGAACGGTTGACATTGGAATGTCCAAGTAAATAATGAGAGTTAATCCAGGGTTCGAAATATAGTTGGTATGTTTTGATTTTGGAACAATGTGTTTGGTGAAATATTCCAATGTCATTCCCTTTCACATTTGTCTTGTCAAGCGATATTTTAATTTTGGAATGTTAGAAATTCTAAGCATAACTATCTGTTTACTAATTTTTCAGGTTTACCCAGCTTATTTGGCCAAAAAGAAGATGGGTTATTATTTATCAGTGGCATCTCTCATAATGATAACAGTCAACTACAAGTTGGAGATTGTATTTTATCAGTATGTGTGTTTGATTTTGTTGTTACTATTATTACTCCTTTAGGTCCCAAACGGAACATAGGGCTTCAACAGTACGTCTCTATTCTGTCCTGTTCTCTGCAGTCTTCTTTAGTCGGCCCCACAATTGTCTGCAAGGTCTCGTCATACGACCTCCTCCATGTCACACTCAGAATTAAATCCAACTCGTTGTTTACCAACTGAACTCCACTCGATGGCCTGGTGGGCGATGTCTCCCAACGGTTCCCTGAGAGTGTGCCCTATCCATCTCCATTTCCTTTTGCATAACTGCTGATCAATAGGTTCTTGGTTGGTTCATTCTCAGAGTTCTTCGTTGCCAATTTTTTCTGGTCACCTGGTCTTCATTATAGAGCTAGCGAAGGCAGCTACTGACAAAAGTTTGAAGCCTGTTGGAAATGATTTTCTCGATGCGCTAAGCTCCCGACCCACATAAGAGAATTAACTTAACATCGGCATTGGGAGTCTGAAAACAACAAATGATGGAATTCTCAATTGAAAGACATAAATTACAAACCAGAAATTATTAAAAATATCTCAGGGCGGAACGCATAGTTCAGTACTACATAAGTTTATGTGAAGTATTGGTATTGGGAAATAGATGACGTTTTTAAGTCAAATTCGCAAGTTGCAGATTAATTAACGTTGAGGTGAAATTGCACCACAGTTCCCTTTGGAAACCATAAACAGAAATCAAGAAAGCAAGCTTACATGAGTAAAACCATTCACCACTGACTGATTGAGATGAATGGTTATATACCAGTTGTATCAACCAGTAGTGCTTGCCAGCTAAACCGAAGTGATCTAAACACTGGACAGCGGTCCTGGCTGGTTTGAGGCAGAGGTCATCTTCAGTGTATCTAGTTTAACTCACCTCAGAAAGCCGAATCAGTTCAAACCACACGACGTTTTCAGCACAATTTAAAGCCTTCATGGCAGTACTAATCAGGAACAAACTCCGAATACTCAAGTATCACTACTAATATGACTGGAATTAGGATGGCATTGCAACCTAAAAACTTGAAGACAAACTTTATCGACTTAGGGGTACTACTGACTTAACGTAATTTACCGTACACTATATAATGATTGTAAGGTCAAATGTATAGGTCAAAGCGAAAAACTGATGTCAGTTAGATTATCACAGCGCATAATTTTTTTCAACCCATAATTTTTAACCATATCAAGATAGGTAGCCCAAAAAGAAACTCAGACATGGCTAGGGATGCATCTGCACATACAGTAGTACAGTTTAGTTAGGTTAAAAAAATATCTGAATCACTAGATCTTTGTTCATTGAATCAACAGTCTACATATTAAATAGGACTGACACAATACTACGTATCTGAATTCGATTCCTGCATTACACAGAGTGTATTTTTCTTCTTGTAAGAATCATGTTGCATAGCGTAGAAGGCAGTTGTGTGACAACAGGAACTACCTTTCAGTGACAGAGTGTATTCCACCGTTAAACTCGGTCATGAGAATTCGATGGTATTTTCTGGCAACAAAACTGCGTACAGTTCCCAATCTTTAAATATCACCGATATTGGCAACAATGAATGAAGAACTCATTGCTCAAAATCCTCAAGACATGTCAATAAGCAATACCTTTAGCAGCTTTTGTTCAATTATGGTTTTCTGAGTACTAATATCTAAACAGTTTTAATAATATCTGGAATCGTTGAACAATTATCGCATCCTACGGAAATAGTGGTCCGTTAGATTTTCTAGGTCCTTGTAGTGTAGTCTACTACTATCCGCTGAGATTTTGTGCAAGATATTTCACTGAATTGTAAGCTATATGGTGACCGACTATGTACATATTTCAGATGAGTATGAAGCATCAGAAACAGTTAGACAAACATTGAACTGTTATACATACATTCTATGCCTAAATTTAAAATACATATCATCACTTGTTTTCTCAGTTCTACGACTGAAATTTTAACATCTGGACTGATGAAGATTATTTTTTTAGGATACACCTAATCTATTTAAAATGCATGTAAACTGTAAACCCACAAAATACTGTCCACAGGAGTGTACACTGTGAAATATTATCTCAGTTACAGCAGGCTTTTTTTCTACATCTGGAATTATCTTACCAAATATCAATGGAGCTGTAGATTTAAGTTGGAATGTGAAAGAAGAAATAAGACATTGTTTGTTGTTTTTTTTTGTAAAATTCAAAAACAGATGAAATCAAAACAGGTGGTCTGAGTGACCTATGGAAAATAAATATTAAGCGGTGATTACATTTGCTAAACTTTACATCTTACTTGCTAATCCTTATTGTGATAAGTTTTATTCTGTTTAGGTAAATCAAGTAGAATTGAAAAATTTGGACACAGTCAAGTCAGTTGAATTATTAAAAACTGTACTGCCACCAGTTTATTTGCAAGTTCAAAGACTGAACACAATAAATCTGGTGAGTTCAATGAGTGGTATTCACATATTTTTTTTATTTATGAGTGAAAATACTCCAAGGTTAACACCTTAGCAGTGTCTACCGTAGTGCATTTCTTTGAAACGTTATCCGTAACTGCATAATACAACTATGAACTTATTAACCACATGTTGAGGTTTTTATCATAAACTCATTGGTATAAACTCATCCTACCTCACTGGTGTTACTTCTCACACACGTATGTCCGTAGAGAAACTCTGCCTGGAGATTTAAAACGATTTCAAATCAGTAATCTGAGTATATTCACATAAAGATGTCTTTAGCATATACATATGTGCTTATGGAGGACAAACCGATATTTTTTTAACATTCTAATACCTGTCACAAACTTCATAATTGCCATAAATCTCAGAAATGGAATTATTTACTAACCGCTAGTACTTCCATGCTCAACCTAAATGAAGTCAGTTCACCATCTTTTAATTTACATTAATAAACCTGACGAGTGTGATACATCACCGATACAATTGCATTTGAAACATAAATATTACAGAGTAATGCTCTTGCATACAAAGAAAGTAACACGTGGAATAGGGAAGTATGGTTACATAGAAAATATTCCGTAATTCGACTTCATGAGAGAATGCACACTTCACGCTGGATAATTTATTGATAAGTGCAGCTGTTTGTAATTATCTACTACATTTATCTACAAGCATATTTGCACAACTTGAACACTGTGGTAGTGTGTAGTAGGTACATCATACATTCAAACAGTATTATTCACTGGATGACGTTTCGAACACAATTTATTGTTCATAATCACACCAATCGTAAATAAACAACTTAGACACAATTTTATAGTCCTCGTTCTTACCATCCCATTTGTTTTAAGGGTAGCGGAATTTTCCAGATGTCCAGGATATGTGAAAACATTCCTATTGCAAATATTCTCAGTTGATTCGACAAATAAAGTTTCAGTTATCAGCTTCCTGTTCACTCTGTTACGACTATCACGTTGTCCCACCCTATTGTACGGTTGCATGTAGATGGGCTATTTTTGGATTCCTTATCTTATTGAGATCTACTAGTCTTGTTTTGCTTTTTTTTCAAACACGCTGGGATTATTTTAAGTAATTTTATTATCATTCAGTCTGACTCAGAGCTCAAATTATTCCAGGAAATTCGTAACATCTATTGTCTGGATATTGATAATCTATTAATCTACATTTCGCTAAGCTTTTTGCTCCTCTAGTCTAGTCAACCCTAGCCCACTACTTTAGCCTGTGTATCTGACCTCATAACCGTTGCAGGGCAGTAGATAAACTAAGTTAAATAGTATTCCCAAAGATCATGGCAATGTAAATAGAGGTTTTAACCGCTTGATAATAAGACAGTATGACATCAGGAAGAAAAAATACACAATTTACGAAACTTGGTTAAGTAATATTGCATAATCTAAAAACACCAAGTGATGAATAGAAGTCACGAACGATTGTCATTAAAACTGTCGGCAATCCGAAAGAGGTATGCTGTTCAAAAGAGTCGGACATTCATAATACGCTCGAAAAAAGCAGACAAAAATGAATGAAGATGTATTACTTATGCAATAATTCCGTATGTAATGGCAGTCACTTCTGAGCGATATTCACCACTTGATGGTTCTAGATTACGCAAGACTACTGAGTCAAGTTTCACAATTTATCCATTTTCTTTTTTTCTTACTTTCTTACTAATGTCTTGTTGATAGTTAACCTTTATTGACATTGACATGACCTTCTGAAAGACTATTTAACTGTAGAGTTTAAATAAGAAGTTATGAATAGCGGTTGCGCTATGTCGTGAATTGGCAGAAGTTAGAATTCATGGAGTGGCCATTGGATTGGGTCCCAGTGGCTTAATGGTATACGAACTCGCCTTGTAACCAGAAGGTCCTGGGTTAGAACCCCGGTGGGGTGCGTACTGCTGAAGAGTCCCAAACTAGGACGAAACAGCTGTCCAGTACTCCCAGTTTTTCCAATGGTTCTCTAACCAATGTCAGCTTATGATGAAATCCTCTAACCAATCAACCAAATCCCTACAAACCAATACTAGAATATTCTTTGCTGACCTATGGTTTTTTTAATTCATATCATATGCGTATTTGTCATAATATGCTTTTACTTGATGAAATGAGATTTAGCAAGAGTTAGTTTGTAGGGATTCGGTCTGTTCAAGACTGATCACTGACTGACTTCAGATAGAGAATCATTGGGAAACCACGAAGTAATGGACAACCGTTTCGTCCTAGTTTGGGACTCTTCAGCATTATATCGGTTTGTGGTCATACTTGATATAAAACAGGTTTGCTTTGTCAGTCTGTTCACTTCTCATTCGGTGGTTCAGCGGTGAAATTCTCACCAGATACCCGTACAGTCTGGAGTTCGATTTCCGGCCTAAGCACTCCTTGACCTCGCTAAGCCGGTAGTAAGGCCGGTAAAGAGAGAAGGTTGGGCGTGAAGCTAGCAATCCCACCCCGTAAAAATAAAGCCACTGCTGCCAAAACTTCAGAGCTCAAGCTTGAAGCTCTATGTTCCGTACGGAATATAAAGAATTTATATATATATATATTCTTAAAACTGATAACCTAAATAATTCTGTATTGTAATTTATGGCTCACCTTTTATTTCTAAGCGTGACAACATTGATTATGTAGAGGATTTATCATCGACGGATACATTTACAGAGGATGATATTGAAATTATCCAAAGAATCATCAACGATTTTGAAGAGCGTGTCTTCAATAACCAAATGAAATTTCAAGATCAATCTAAACTTTCTGTAAGTGGTTATCATATCTATGCATACATACACACATAAACACTTTTGAATGATTTTTTATACATATCTCAGCAGTGTATAAAAAAATCTGAGTCTCTTTTCCTGTATTTAAAAAAAGAAAGAATCTTAACCTCATTGTCCCCATAGATTTACTGATGATTGTAAGATTAACTAGCGATTTACCTGATGAATAAACCACATACTAAGTTGTTCCAATTATTTTGTTATGTTATCATAGAAGATAAAACCTTATCACTTCTCGCTATAGCAAATATAATGAAATATTTATGGAATATAATTAAAGGTCAGCGGAAATAAGTTTATCCGTGTTCCTTTAGTTAAACAAAATTAATACCTTATATATATATATATATATATATATATATATGTATATATATATAAGGTAGTCGAAGAATTAACTGTACAAAAGCCTTACCATGTTCTGCATTTACGGTTCACAGTCTCCAGCCCGTTGATAGACACAAAATTACGAGTAGAATAATGGGAACTTATAAATATCGGAATTGTAGGCACATTCTTGAGTGTAATTATGAATGGACTATAGAACACAAAAGTGATGAATCACGGAGTGGATCATAGTCAACTAGAACGATACATCTTAGCAATCTTTCTTGGTATTCAGTGATTATATAACTTTATATCTGTTTGCGACGGTGTCTATCTTGAAATGTACTTCACCAGAGTATCAAATACTCATAGAGGGCGGGGGGGCAGGTGCACTTCCTACAAAAAGAATCTTAAAGAAAAAAATTAAAATTCACTCTTACATCCTTTGTTTAAGTTTCGGAAGAACTAAATATATTCAACTTTTTTCACAGAATTGAAAGAAAAAAAGTCAAAACTAAACGTTGCTATCTACCACCGGAGAGTAAAATTACTTGTTACTCTTTTAACTTCCTTTTTCTTCATAATTTTTAAGAACTCGAAAATTTTTTTCATCTATGATATTTTTTGTACCAAGAAGTCGTCTTATCTTAAATTTATTTGTCTAGATATTTTAGGTTTGTGTTTATGGACTTTTTCAAATCTTATCTAACCTATTCTGGTTACCAGGATCACTGTTAACTTGGAGGGATATTTATCTCTTCTGAAGACTTGCGTCGGTGGCTTAGCGGTAGAATGCTTGCCAGACACACACGTGATCGGGATTTCAATCTCCGGCCAACGCAAGCCTATACCTCGCTAAGCCGGTGATAAGACTGGTAAAGAGGTTGGGTATTAGGCTAGCAACCCAACCTTGTTAAAGTCGACACCACTGCTACCGAAACTTCAAAGGTCTGGCTTGAAAACCTATGTTGCGTCTGGAACTTACAGAAATGAAATTTTTGAAAAAAGGATATTACGATAAGTGTATAAATGATCACCATGAATTTCTTGAGAATGAACTGTTCTTTTGAAAGAACATACAGTTAACTGGCAACATGTATTCAACAATAATTTCAATAGAAAAATAACAGTGCCTTGAAATTTGTTGACAATTTCACTGGATGACTTATTGGTTTTTGCGGAGATTTTTAAAGATGAATCAGTTTCTAGATAACGCATAGCCTGAGACTGTAATATACCTGCAGAATGCTTCAAATGTACCTAGTATAGCCTGCAGGAATTGCAATCACTTTCACAACATAAGGCTTTTGCTTTACTTGTCCCAAAAATAAACAGGGGTTGCATGCGTTTCCCACCAAAAATACCTTCATTTCAAACATTTCCACGTAAAGGAAACACATTAAATTATTCAGTGTATAGTATTTCAACAGTAATAATACAATCTGGTAGCGGGAAAATAAAGAAACCAAGAGATGAGTTCAACTCATTTTTACATATATATATGGGTGAACATTTCTGCAATTTTAAGGCTGTTTAACTGTGATTAGCAGATTTCTCTGAATTTCATTTTTCGCATGATCAAAGACATGACCTTGAACGCAGAATTCACTGATACACATATATAAGTGAGAGAGCGAAAATTAACAGAAGAAAATGTGATGAAAAAAGAAATGGTGATTTAGCAAATAACATAATCAATAAATCAAATAAATCCCCAAAAAAATAAAAATAAAAATCACCCTAATTTTTTGTTGTTGTATTATTTATTTGTTCTTTCTCCCTCCTTTTCCTTATTTATTTCTTTCTTTTTTTAATTTTCCATCTAGTCAATCTGCCAAAATTCGAAATCATTCACTAGAAACTGCATAAATTATCTTCTGTCTTCTTTTGGTTTTTAGTCTTCTTCTAGCCATCTACACGTGTAAGATATCACTGAAGCATATACATATATTTTGAATAAGCTTGAATAAATGGTCCCACAGTGAAGTGTATACCTACTGCAGACATTTATAACCCTTACTAATGTGTTAGTAGAATTGTTGTGTTGTGTGCTTGCTTACTTATGCATAACAGAAAAGAGTTAAAGTACTTTTTTTAGTGCTAAATAATAAATTGCCTCTTCTGACTTTCGTATTCCCTATAAAATGATAATTTTCAACTTTCGCTTCTGATTGATAAACAAATGGAAGGTAATTCAGTATGATTTTTTTTTTGATAAACAAAAAGCATTTTCCTCATTTCAAACAAAACAGAAAATTAATAACAACCTTTCTTTACATCTTTAAAGTGTAAAAATGAAGTTTAAGTACTGAAGCATTATTAAATATCCAGCCCTACAGTAATTATAAATAAATTGATTAGCCAAACATCAAGTTAATTATAAGGTAGCCATTCAGATCATAGTCGGGATAATGATCAAGGCAGATAGTTAACTTTTTCCCACTGTTTATCTTATTACAAACTACTGTGTAGTAACCACTCAGATTACTGAAGAGACTAAAGAATACCAGTTTGTATAATGATGGATGTAACTGCTCAGCTTTAGCGTAATGTCACTAATCAAGATAATGCACTAAGAACTGTGTTTATAAGTTTCTTTTTCCATTCCTATACTTTCCCAGTAGGACATAGAAATTCAAGCTTGGGCTATGGAGTTTCTAGTAGGATTGGTGGTTCTTTTTACGAGACTGGGTCGCTAGCCTTACCCTCCGCCTCCTCTGATTGTTCATCGAACCCCGAGCGAAATTCATGATTAGCGAGGATTCCAACTCTGAACCACCGATGCCAGTTATGTGTTTAATTTAATAAAAGCTGCCTACATTTCTAGGCAGAAATTGAACTGAAATAACTGGGCACTGTTGCTTTCCAGACTATCAGTATTACTGTTACTTTGGCACTCATTATTATTACATTTCTATCCACTTATCTCGTTTAGCGTTCTTTATGTTCGTTGAAATACACTTTATAACACTCACTTCATTAATTGAGATATACTTTCATGTAAGAATAAATAACATCCAGGGTATACGTTTCTTGAATTCGTGTTTACTTAGGAAAACTACAGAAGAGGCGAATACAAGAAGTCACGTAATAAAGTTTCTGATTTTTAGGATATTATTTGCCTACGTTTATTCTCTATAAATTATAGGCAATACTACACAAACAGCAAAGGCGACATAAATTGCAGGGAAAAAGGTTTCTCCGGAATAATTTTTAGAAAAAATTCATGCAGGCTGTTTGCCTTAAATTACTATTCAAGTATTACACCGAAAGGAATCCGTTTAATGCATAATATGAAATGGGAATATACTGATGAAAAACAGTTACCTGCGCCGTGATTGTTGTCTTTACTGAATGTTGTTTAGACAAGTTGGATATCAATCTTATTCCATAATTATATATATATATATATTTTAGTGACTATAATGCGATACCTAATGATATGATGAAATTACTAGGTTAGAACATTAAGCAACCCGTTGTGAGTTTAGAAAACACAACAGAATAATCTGATTATAGTAGTCAATTTTTTGTAAAAATTAATGGATTTGCGTCAGCGACGCAAATATATGCATATATATATCAGCTGTGGATTAAATCAGTACTTTTCATCATGAGGTACTGCACAGTCAGAATTCACTTCTACTTTCTAATTTGTTCCTGTTTGGTATTGCACACGAATACCTGTTAGATCATCAATACTCCCATCTCCCAACATAGGGAAGATAAAACACATGCAGATGACTCATTTGTTTTTAAGTTTAATTCGCATTTCCCGATGATTGATTATGTTGGATCGAAATGTTCAGTCTCTGTTGACATATCGGCTCCTAGTACGGACGCTTCAACGATATCTCTGAAGCTTGAAATGATGTCATCTCCCGTTGATGGTGTGACTATCAGTCGAACTGAAAATGCTTACGTATTTCTTCTTATTTTTGGCACTTATAAGCGCTGCCTCTTAAGTGATTGTTGATGTTCGTTGAGGAGCCGACATGTCGACAGAGGCCGAAAATTTCGGACTAACATAATCAATCGACGAGGAATGCAAATTAACTAAAGAACAAAAAATAAATAACTGATACCTATCGCATAAGATATTGTTTACTGGCCTACTGGATAACACTGGCATTTAAAACGATGGCTGCTGGCTTCATGTCTTAGTCCAAACGTCAACACTTACTGGAGATGCAGCAACACTCAGATGATGAGTCGCAAACAGGATGAAATGTGCACCCTGGATTCCACTGCCAGTCACAATTAACCAGACCACATCATGTAGACAAGTATTATTCGAAACTCCAAAGTCTTTCTTCTGAATACGCTTGCTAGAAATTCATTCTATTAGAAGTGTGATTATCTAAGTTGTTCCACTGTTTTATTAATTAAGTACACCTCTATCGGATTAGTGTTTGTATTGAGACAAGAAACAAGTGGACACTTTTCGAATGAAACCAAATTTAGATAAAGCAATAAGACGCAATTTTTCTGACTCGTGTAATGTATTTGCGCAATACATTTCGAACAATCTGATCACATACGGACTTGTCATAGGAATATATATATGAAATTAATAAAGAGTTAAGAGGTGGGAAAATAAATTTAAGTCAAGTTAAAGGGACATATTGAAGGTCAAAATAACAACGAAGATCACTAAACCAAATAACAGTGGTATCAAAACAAAGTTTACCAAAGAAGGTTTAGTGTGATGACGAATTGTTTTTGAACTCATAAAGGTAGTTTAAACTTTCTGATTGCTAGGGCTTCCACAAACTTTAGGAAACGCCCCAAACACGTTTTATAGGTAGGTTTAAAAGATCTGTTGACGTCAATTTTATATCCTATCTCTATAATATGTTTCGCAATAGAGGAGCTAGGTCTCCTATGCTCGCCATTAATGGGTTCTGAAGATTCTATTTGTTTCTGGAGCCATTTAGAAATATGCTCTGAAGCCCTTACTTGCAGAGATCGATGAGTCCTCCCTATGTATGTGTGTCCACAGGTACATTCAAATTGGTAAATACAGTAGGATGTGACATTATTCTCCGCATGTTCGAAGGGCTTAGCTAGATATATTGGCTTCACATTCTCAATTATTATGATATTAGCTGCATAAAATGTCTTTTTAACAGCAGCGTTCAGTCTTTGTCTAGTCATCAAGCTCCTGTGATGCTCCATATAGGGTAGCTTGATGTACACTTCAATCAAACATCTAGTGCTCAATATTTCGATGCAAATAATAATAGCCAGGCTTATATTATGCATAAAAATCCCTACCGAAGAAACAAAATTAATCTGAAGTGAAGCTGAATGACTGCACTGTCTTTCACTCATTTTCTCCTTCAGTGGTAAATGAGCGAATGAGTATTCTTCAGATGACAATCCTACATTTGTCTCATAAACATTGAAATATTTACTAGACAATTATTATTACTTTCTTTCTAATTTTAATTACTTACTGTGGGTAGAAGCAGCATAAAGACAAACAAATGAATCTATTACTTCTGGAAATGCGTATACAGTTCTTCTCTAATCTGCTGCATTTTTTCAACATGTGAATAGCATTTTAAAAAATAATAACTAATTATTTTTGTTCAAAGTAACGATTACGCCCTGTAATAATTCGTTTATTAGAAGTGTAGTACTATAAAAGCACTCGATAAAGGCAAACTCATCCCATCACTCTTGAAATAGGCATCCGTCTAACAGAAATTTTGAAGAAGTCGATTATTCTTTCTTCGAATATCTGTCTCCTTTTCGTTGATAATTATTAGTTTAACCAGCTCTTATCAATTAAGTGGAAACTGAACTTACTAAAAGATTAAGCGTAAAATCACAGACAGGAGAAGACTGACGAATATATAGGAAATAATAATATTTAAAAAGTCACGATGACACTGATATATGTATATGTATATATTCGCTCAGTTTAACTAACCATTTTCATCAATTAAAAATAAATCATTGAAGTCAAATTGGTGAACAGTACTCACTTGTTTATAGGACACAGAAATATACACCAATCAATATCATTATGTCACAATAAAATCCTTGTAATTGGTTGAGTAAGAATTTTTATGAAAAATCATGATTAGTAATCAAGGTAAAGTCACATGAATGAATTAGTAATGACTTGTTTTCTGTCATGAATATTGTACACTGAACCGTTATCGTATAAATATGATATTCTGTGTAAAAAGAACAAAAGTTTCTCATCCCACTTCAAAATTGTGAAGAAAGCATAAAGTATAGTACTCATAATACCTAAATAGCATCGATTACTCCGTTATATTTATTATTGTCTCACAAAAAGGATATTAAAACGTTAATCAAGTCCAGGGTAAATAGATATGTTCTGGAGACGTTTACTACGGTTACTATGACATTTAAAATCTTCACGTGACAAAAACCGATAACTAGTCGCATCATCTACCACATTTCATTAATTCTAAAAAAATTTCCTTCAATGAGTGAATACAACTAACTTCCATTTATATTTGAATATTTTATTTCGGCTAAAATACAAATTCAGATGACAGACAACACTGAAACATATAATAAACAGCAAAGTATCACTGAAGATAATATGGAAAATGTTGATATACAGGCTAAAATCCAAATGCCGAATCGATGTGCCAGAGTGTTACGTCGGAAAGTATTGCAATGGTTGCATACAAATCAGGTAATGAAACTGCTAAAAGGTGGTATAAATCCAACGAATAAAGAAAAAGTAAATACTACTGGAGAAAATTCAAACAAACAAAGCGATTCAGAAAAGGATGACAGTACATTGTATGGAGACGACGAAAGTGAGGATTCTTTCAGTGATGACGAAGATGCTTGGGAGAAGGGTAAAGTTCCAAGTGAGTTGAAATTTTCTCTGTTTTTCTAATTCATTGATTTTATGTATACTTAATATGAAATACTACTGCGTGTAAACTATTCTTAATCCTAATATTATTATTGTTAGTAAGCAGTTAAACAATAACTATTTTTAAATATATTCTTCTTAATTCTGCAAATATTAAAAGTATGCAGTATTTAGAGTCAAAATAAGCATTGTATAATTTAACTTTACAAATTTGACGCATCATTTTCTACTCTACTCTACTCTTATTCAAAATATAATAAAAGCCTGGTGGTTTAGATTCAACATTAACTTTGAAATCAGTCAGAGGCAAATTAATTTCACTAACTAACTTAGAGATTGATTTCCCAGGCATATGACCAATAGCTGTGACTGCCATTGTCAACAACATCAAATGCAATGACATGAGCTCGTCTGTAACACTGAATGGCGGTTGTGATGACACCATATCACAGGCTGACAGAAATCAGATTGGATAGTGACATGATTGATTAATAATCGAACAATTCTAGGCTTATGTTCTGCTAAGGTTGTGCATGATCACTATTTGTTCAGTGTTCCTTGGTTTACACCGGTTATGTCAGTTAATTTTAGCTCCTGGTGAAATAGATGGGAAATATTTTAGGTAAACTTGTGCACCATGAGAATCGCACATTATTATTAATCGATCGTTGCATTCCGAGTAGAACATGGGGTTTCAGTGGTATAGATTCATGCCAGTCAGTTCTCTACTATCAATTCCAACCGGCTCAATAATTGTCCTGAAACCTTCATTCCTTATTCATATGATCTCATCCATGTCACCTTCAGATGCCTGACCACTAGTTTCTCATCTGTGTTTCATTCAAGGCTGTGGTGTTTGATGTCACTTGTATGTTTCCTCGTCTTAGGACGAGGAAAGAGGATAAGTTAGAGTGGAACTACCAACCTTACCCTGTGAAAACATTCCCATAGCTAAAGAGACTTCAAAACACATAAAAAAATAATAGACCAACGGATACAGTTATCAAATTAATCTAAGTGCTCTTATAATTTGGGTCAAGGTAAATAATAAAGGTTGTTAGCAGAAAGATATATTTCTCACGGGTATTCATACCAAAAAATAATTGCAGCGTTTGTTTAATAGAACCAAGCATCGTTTCGTTTTCCTTAGCAATAGCTCTACAGAGTATTCTAGATTGTTTCAGATGTTTGTTCAATGTACAATTTTAAAAAATCACCAAGAATTCTTGACATAAACTTGTTACATATTAAGAGCCCTGCAAATATAGAAGCTAAAATGCATAGAACTGTTAGTAATGAAACGAAAATATTTGAAATCACTATGCAAACCAATCAGCGATATCAGTATGCATTATCTGTTAAACATGTTTTTCTCTGTATCGATGTACAGATATAATAAATACCCAAGAAACTGTAAGGAGTGACCACCCATTAGCACTTTGATGCATACAAAAACTTATTCGATCGCTTCTATTGTTTATTGAATTTAGTGGATAACAAAGGTTTGATACAAGTCTAGTAAAATGTTTCAGATAACTAAATATTCTAAAATCGTTCGGATTAGGCATTTCAACCACCCTTCAATAATTATCCTTCTAATGGTGTTAGATACACTAATCCTGCTAAACTATTTTTCTTTGTTTGGTACAAAACATAAGCGAACACAATCCCATCATTTGCAGTTGAGAGGAAATTTAAATGCCTACCGTCACTTGGCTAATTCTTCAGTGTATGCATTCAGAGTGAATTAAAGCGTTAATGTCTTTTCCGAATACGTGATTTTTTTAACCCTTAATTATCATCTCAATCTCAAGGAAGTGGAGGCGCAGCCTACTGGACACGAAAGTAAGAAGGGGAGCAGACGTTGGCTCAGACCACTACGTCGTACAAGGGACAATCCAAATCAAATTAAAAGCTTTCAGAGAAACAGGAGCTGCAGATAGACCACAAGCCAAGTTCAACACTCAAAAACTGAAGGACCAGGACACAAAGGACATCTTCACTGCAAGCATAAAGGAGAAAGCTGAGACACAAATCAACACTAGCGAAGAGGTCAGTGTCGAAAAGCACTGGAACAACTTGAAAACATTGTGGAGTCAAACCTGCATGTAAGTTCTAGGCAGAAAGTAGAAACAGGACAAACAGTGTCTCACTATGGACACTTGGAGACTCACAGAAGAGAGAGGGATGGTGAAACAAAAGATTCTCCAGTGCACCGACGAGCAACAAAAACAGGATTTGAATGCAAACTACAAGACACTGAACAGGAGAGTAAAGAAGAGTGCCAGAGAAGACAATAGAAAGTATTATGAAGCTATGGCAAGTGAAGCAGAACAAGCTGCAGTGCAGGCAAAGGAGACCTCGGAACACTCTACCAAACAACTAGGTACCTATCGGGCAAACGTTTGACACAAATCAAGCCGGTGAAGGATGACAATGGAAAGTCACTCACCAAAGAAGTGGAGCAAAGGAAACACTGGGCTGAACACTTCAAAAGCCTTCTAAGTCGACCACCACCTACAACGCACCCAACAATACCAACAACGGAGACAGAGCTACCAGTGAACACCAACCCCCGGCGAAATCAGAAGTCCTGAAGGCAATCAAGATGCTAAAAGCTGGAAAAGCAGCAGGACCAGATGGAATCCCAGCAGAAGCAGAGACAACAGCGAACTTGATGACGCCACTACTGGAGAAGGTGTGGAAAGAAGGCAAAGTACCCGAGGATTGGAAGAAAGGATACTTATTCAAACTACCAAAGAAAGGAGACTTAAGTCAATGCAAGAACTGGCGCGGAATTATGCTCCTGTCTATCCCAAGCAAAATACTAAGCCGAATCATCCTGGAGAGAATCAAACAAACCCTGGATGAAAAACTTCGACCGGAACAGACTGGATTCAGGAGAAACAAGTCATGCATTGATCAGATCGCCACATTACGGATCATCATTGAATAAAGCTTGGAATGGCAGTCACCTCTCTATCTCAGCTTAACAGACTTTGGAAAGGCCTTCAACAGAGTCGATCGAGATGTGATTTGGCAACTACTTCGCTACCACGGGGTGCCACCGACAATTATACATATCATCCAATAGCTGTACGACAATGCTGCATGCCAAGTAATCCACAACGGGAAACTCACGGAATCCTTCGGAGTGAGGACAGGAGTAAGACAAGCTGGCTGCCTACTATCGCCAATGATTTTCCTGATTGCAGTAGATTGGATAATGCGACTAACAGTGGCGGGCAATGAGGAAACAGGCATAAAATGGACTCACACAAAAACTTGGAGGATCTGGACTTCGCTGATGATATATGTCTAATTTCCAACAAACTGGAAGATATGCAAGTGAAAAGGAACAAGTTGGCAGAAGAAGCATCAAAGATAGGACTTCATGTGAACATAGATAAAACAGAGGTGATGAAGATTCCTGGCCAACACCACCAACAACAGTAACAGACAACAATCAGCAAAAATGAAAGGAACCTGAAAGAAACAACCTCTTTTACCTACCTGAGAAACATCGTTTCAACTACAGGTGGAACTGACAAGGATATCAAAGCAAGAATCGGAAAAGCAAGACAAGCTTTCACTACTCTCAAGTCTGTGTGGAGGTCAACAGCGCTCAGCATGAATATAATAAGATCCGGATTTTCAACTCCAATGTGAAGTCAGTCAGTGCTACTATACGGATCAGAGACTTGGAGTGTCATGAAGTTCACCTCAAACAAACTACAGACCTTCATCAACAGATGTCTGAGCTTAATACCACACAAGATCAGATGGCGGGCCAGAAAAGATCAGCAACAGAGATCTCTGGGAGCGAACCAACAAGGAACCGATCGTGAAACTAATAGGCAGGAAGAAATGGAGATGGATTGGCCATACTCTCAGGAAACCATCAAGTGACGTCACTAGACAAGCCATTGCTCGAGTGGAACCCGAAAGGGAAGTGGCGAGTTGGTCGTCAGTGAGAGGGTGGGTGACTTGGAGGAGGTCATGTGAAGAGGAGATGGAAACGTGTGGGCAGACTTGGAGCCAGGTGAAGACTCTAGCAGAGAACCGAACGCAATGGAGACGCACGGCTGAAGCCCTATGTTCCTCTAGGAATTAAAGGAGACAATAATAATATTATAATAATATCACATACCGCCATAACTTCTAATGATATTTGTTTATGTGTTGTTATTTTACCATGAAAGCTATTTTCATTCTTCAGACACCTTGACCTGTCTTATTGTTTGGTTCCATTCAAGCATGACATTTTCATTTATGCTAGTGAAAGGGTAGTAAAACTTGCTGTAACACGACCAAAAAGCTTTTTAAGTTATTCATCCGCAACAATGTGAAAAGTAATCACTGTCTCTCTCTCTCTTAAAATTTTCACATTGAACGAGTCTGGTTTGACTGTGATTCAAAAATTGTTTGTATTCCAATGACTTTTGGAAAATAGTGACTACAGATATTCTCTTCACATGGCCTTTATTAGTGTAGCTAAAGCTAGGAGGGTTGACTCATGATGCACTGAGCTCTAGACAAACAGTGAATTCAAGACAGCAACGCGAAGGTCGTTTGATTGTTTATCATCTAAGATATTGCTGAGAGCAATTGATTAGACGTGTACTGTATTCTAGTCATAGTAAACGAGAAGCAGATAGAAAGTGTAAAATCCGTTCATTCACATCGCACTCGCTTTCTCTCCCTCTAACTCGGATTCATTTAGTAATTAATATTGTATCAACTAGCTTGTGTTTTGTGGCAAACAATACTAAATCATGACTTCAGCAACCAACCCAAATATCCCAGATTTTAAAGGTACATTTTGTGTAAGATTTCCAGCTTGGAGACTGAGTTTCATTCAAACATTTCTATGACTACGGCTGTTGTGAATCATTTGGTTTTAAACAGTGAAAATACTTTTCAGTTTGAATATGATTACAGAAACAAGATTTAGTAGAAATAAAAGAAAATGGATGGTTTTACTGAAAACAG